ATGAACAACCAAACAGACACACATGAGTTCATCATTATTCCTTTTTCAATGACTATTTAACTCATGATTATGATTAGGTATATGACATATCAAACAGTAGATAATATCAAAGGTTGTAACATAAGGAACTGTCAAAACATATAAACATTTTAATGGAATTACATTGAAACAGATATTCTAACTGTTGTGTGTCTTTTTCTTTTTGGCTCAACAAGACCTGATTTGTTATTGCAGAAGAATATAGGCTCATTAAATTTTTTATCATGCACATAAAGCTGCAAAAGGTGACACATCATATATCATTGAGGGGACATGAACAACCAAACAAACACGCATGAGTTCATCATTATTCCTTTGGTCCACAGTTGTGCATTATGAACATGGGCAATCCATCTTAAAAGGAGACTGAGTTACACTCCAAATAAATATATATAAAACTTAAGAGTTTAGATTAACTACTCATGAAGAATTGTGCGAATTTAATTAATCCATAAATTTACTAATCACATATTCGTCGTGCACTACTGATGATGAAACCATGATCCATCCAAAAAACGATTCAAGTATATAGGTAGTTGTAGATCCACAACAAGAACATCAGAAGAAACACATAGTATATGAATCCAATTCTGCATTGATAGAGAGGAACTGGACTTTTAGCAATTCACAGTCAACATAAATATTGATGATTATTTTGGAAGCTTACGTAAGGCCACCAGCCTGCAAATACAGACTGTTGTGGCCACATAACCATGGCACCCGTTGGAACATCCGTATGCATATAGAAATGCAACTGTGAAAATCAGAGGACCACAAAAGCTTTAACTTAGATAAAGCAGAATCCATCATGGGATGAATTGGACTGCCACTTCAGGAGTCCACACAAAATTATTTATGATGCCCTGGCAAGAAGAAATGAAGAATACTCAACATGTGTCCAAGAAAATATCACTTTTCTTCACAAGTATCTACTATCTTATACAAGGATTAATATTCCCATAGAATTTAGGAGCCAATATAAGATGAATTAATCTCCCTCAAAATATACAAGTCATCTAATGCTTAAGCGGCTCACCAAATGTAAGTATTCCCTTGCCATATGTTTCGTCAATCCCTTGCCATATGTTACAGTCAGAGTGTAGAAGTCAATCCCTTGCCATATGTTCCATCAAGAAAAGGGGAATCAGTGCCATTGCGAGGGCACCAATTCTGGAGCTATGGCAAGTTTATGGGTAGAACTTTTACCAAGGGAAGTGATGAGGTCAATTATTTCACCTAGACAAAGTGCATCTGTCAGCACAAGGGAGATTCTTGAAATTTGACTTCTCGCTAGTATCTATTTTCAAGGCATACATATAGTTGACCAGAAAACTTTTGCAAGTTAGACCCAGAGAGTGCAGCCATCAAGTGGATTTCGCATGCCAAGACCATGAAGGATCAAAGTGGCGAAGATGGATTAGGTGTCCAAGAGTTTTGATGGCTGCTATCTCAAAAAATGGTGCATGGAACCCCCTAAAAAAGCACTCGGTTGGCAAAAAAGAAAGAAAAAATAGCTAAACAACTTCTCCAAATAACCTTCCCATTATAATATGCAGAAATTTTGAGAAATAAGCCATAAGGCATAGAATTGTCATGATGGCAGATACCATGCCCTGATTTTTACTATATTTGCAGCATCATTTGACATTATAGAGATGAAAAACTAAGGCAGTTATACTAGCAACGTAGCAACAAGAGATTAATTTTTCTTTCCATCCCTCCTGCATCTACGCAGAGGAATATGATTTTCAAAAGCCAATGGATTTCAACATGAAGTTGTACCTTAGTGAGCAGTAAACTTAATTGCTGAATGACATCAATTATGTGATCGGACTTCACAGCCTAAAAGGAAGAAAAGGCACAAAAGGAATTTAGTGAATAACCTAAAACCTAAGCATTTCAAATAGTTTGAGCCTATGCCCAATCTACCTAAAAATCTGCAATTCACAAAATACAATACAAAAAAGACAATACCCATGTCCGGTTCTTAACTCGATTAGAGACCGATGGATCCAATCCAAGGAATCTAGCATTCTGAAACGCCACGCATGCACATCAAATCAAAGTGCTATTCCATCCAGAAAATGCAACCAGATCAAAAGCACGCACTAAATCACCCTCTATGTTTCAATTATAATAAGAGTATGAAATAAACATCCCACTAAGGAATTGAACTTACCATAGGAGAATTTGTATCTACACCAATATAACCTGAAGATGATTAAAAGAATTTCTATCTCCCACCTACACTGGTACAATCTCCTTTTCTTACCACCACACGAGTAACTCACGAGCCTCCTTGTGGCTTCCTCCAGAGTTGGGCCGCGTAAAGCTCAACCTTGATGGTTGTTCCATAGGCAACCCAGGGCCATCAAGTATAGGTCTTTTTAGAGACCACAAAGGCTCCACTTTGACCTCTTTCTCGAAGTCCATAGGTCACTCCAATTTCCAATCAGCAGATGCTAGATCATATTTCTTGGGGGCCTCAAAGTATTTGACAACTCTTGGGGCCAAGCTCTCACCATAGCAAGGGACTCCCACAATGTTATTTCATGGGCCTCTGGTTCGGCTAACTGCCAATGGCCCCTGCTCCACATTTATCCCATGTAAGAAGAGGACTTATGAACTTATGATTACTTGGAGACAAATATACTGCGAGAGTAACATAGAAGCAAACTTCTGCTAAAGAGGGCACACCACAAGCCATAGGCTAAGCATTTTTTGCATACTCAGTCAGAGTCCCTTCTAAGGGTTCCCGCTCCCTTCCCCTCTTTCTCCTTCCTTTAATTACCGTCTCTAGGGATTTTGTATATAGCTCTGTCCCCCAAGGGCAGCCATTTTTGATGTACAAAACCCCCCAGGTGGTCCTATTTTGTACTATCTTTTTTTCTTTTCAATACAACTTCAAAAAAAAAAATACACAACCAATGCTGCAACCAACAACAAAATATTATTCTAAT